ATATAAATATAAATATAATGGACAGTATGTATTCAATATAAAGTTATCCTTTTCTGGACAAAGACAATAGAACAAATAGCTTATAAAATAATGCATGTTACTTCCTTAAATTGTTCCTGCACATTTTCTGCCCCAATTTTTCATTTTTCATTTTTTTCTCAGGGGGCTGTTATATTTAACTTCATTTTCTGAAAACATAAAACAATTAAGACACTCCAGGAAGCTACCCCACCCCCTCATAGCTCAATAAAGTAAGTAACTTGATACTATTGTTTTTCTGTTCTTGTTATTTTTTAAAGTTTAGGATGAAATGGAAACATTTCAAATCTTCCCTAAAATGTAACAAAGAAGCAGATTATTGGTGTTGCTCTGAATCTTTGTTTTGCCACCTTGTAGCATGCTGGAGAATTTTGCCCTGCAGTACATATATTAAAGGCCCAGGTAGCCTGGTGGTTAGGGCAGTCCAAACCCACATGGCCTATGGCAGTTCAAGTCCCAACCAGGCAGCTTGAGAAACATGCTGGGTGCATGTGCATGTGCATGTGTGTCCTGGCTCCTGATCGGATGGAGAGATGGATAAGTGATTGCCTCATGACTCCCCCTCTCTGAGGGGTGCTCTCTCCACTTCTGTTTCTCTAGTGAGTGCACACGCCCTCTGGCAATTAAAAAAATAAATGATTACTCTTTGTGGCCTTCAATTTCCTCATGTGTAATATAAATGTGTGTATGTGTGTGTGTGTGTGTACGTGTGTGTTAATTTGCCAGAGAGCACATGTGCTAGCCAGAGAGAGAAAATCAAGAAAGCACCCACCCCCCATGAGGCATGGTCACGTCACAATCCCTCCTTCTCCATCTCTTCCTCCTTTTGAGATTTTGGGTATGCACACACAAGGGCCTGCTGTGTTTTTTTAAATCATTGGGTCTGAGACTAACCATGCAATGGGTGATGGGCGGTCCATCCGCCTTAACCACCAAGTCACAGGCTGGCCCTGTGAAGGTTTTGTTTCCATATGGCTCTAAAATTCCATAAAAAAATCATTTTTGATTGGGAACTATTCCTAGACAAAACAAGTTGTCAAATAAGCTGAGATATTGGTATGAGCCAAAAGAACATGCAGTAATGGAAAGTATCCAGAGTAGTGATAGAATTAGGTATTGCACCCTGCAAAGTTCTTGTTACATAAACTGGCCACATAGGTCGATCTATACCACTCTGTCAGGAAATTGAAGATGACCTCGGCTAAATCCTGTCTCCAAAATTACTTCTTTTTTTTTTTTAATTTTTTAAAGAGGTTTTTGCTATAGGGCATGTGCGCTCGCCAGACAGAGAGAGAGGACAGAGACAGAAAGCGAGAAATCACCCCCCGGGGGGATGGTCATGCTGCAATCCCTTCTCCTCCATTCTCCTCTCGGGATCTTGGGCACGCACGCACACGTGCCCGGCGTGAGTTTTAAGCCACCGGGTCTGGGATGCAAACCGCGGTCGACTATGTGGGAGTCCAGCAACATAGCCATTACGCTAACTGCTGGTCCCCCTCCAAAATTACTTCTTTTACTTATTCTGGCATCTTCTCAAATTAAGCAAGCTATGTAACTAGTGATGAACTTAGAATAGAGGAAGACTTGGGGCCAGCAGGTGGCACAGTGGTTAAAGCACTGAACTCCCACATGACCAGCTGCAGTTCCAGTCCTGGACCTGGTAGTTTACTTTCTCTGTTTCTCTCTGGTGAGCACATGTGCCCTGTACCAAATGCTAAAAGTAATGATGATAAATAAAATTATATAATTCCAGAGAAAAGAGGACGGCTCCCTTAAAAACTCATACTGTAGCCCGCAAAGATATATTAATTACATGCAAACCAGAAATGATCATTTTAAAGGTCATAACAAATTTTCTAAAAGTAGGAAGGCTCTAGCAGGGTCTCACTTCGGTAGTGCATGTACCTTGGCTAGGTCAGCAGAACCAATGTCTGCCTTTTAGCTTTTCTGGGTTTGAGTTTTAATTTTGTTAGCACTTCCGGAAATAGTCCCGGGGACTAACATATGCTAACCAAACTCACAAAAGACTTTTGTGATTTAAATGCCAGATCACTAATGCAATGAGAAAGTGAACTGCTAAGTAGACCACTGCCAGAAGACTTGCAGCGGCCAAGGCACCCTTCACACTTGTCTATGTGGAAGCACATAGAAATTGGTCTTGACCTCTCCTTTTTCTAGGCTCACTGGGATCCATTCCTTTCAAACCTCACAGTTCATGTATTTGACAAGATGACAGCTTTCTTTTCTATAAAAATAATTTCAGTCACGGGACCAGCAGTTAGCATAATGACTATGTTGCTGGACTCCCACATAGTCGACCGCGGTTCGCGTCCCGGATCCGGTGGCTTAAACTCACAACGGGCGCGTGTGCGTGCGTGCCCAAGATCCCGAGAGGAGAATGGAGGAGAAGGGATTGCGGCGTGGCCATCCCCCTGGGGGGTGATTTCTCGCCTTCTATCTCTCTGTCTCTCTGTCTGGCGAGCGCACATGCCCTATAGCAAAAGAAAAAATCATTTCAGTCACACTTCCGTATGGATATATCCTAGTCGCTGGATTAAACTTGGGTCTCTAAAGCATCTCTAAAATCTGTATCATGTCATTTAACTACTTGAGTTAGGTTGTGCATGATCGCTCTGTGGCAACCACTTTCCCAGTTCGTATCTTACAGGGTCAGACCCTTGCTTAAATTCCGTCAGAGGTTTCCCACTGCCAGTAGCAGTGCTTCTCAAAGTTTAGCCAGCATGAGAATCACCTGCAAGGCTGGGACCAGCAGTTAGCATAATGGCTATGTCACTGGACTCCCACGTAGTCGACCGCGGTTTGACTCCTGGACCCGGTGGCTTAAACTCATGCCGGGCGCATGCGCATGCGTGCCCAAGATCCTGAGAGGAGAATGGAGAAGGGATTGTGGTGTGGCCATTCCCCCAGGGGGTGATTTCTCACGTTCTGTCTCTCTGTCTCTCTCTTTCTGGAGAGTGCATGTGCCCTATAGCAGAAACCTCTCAAAAAAAAAAAAAAGAAAGAAAAGAAAAGAAAGAAAAAATAAGGGGAAAAAAAGAAACACCTGCAAGGCTCGTTGAAACACTGATGGACAGGTCCCAACCCCAGAATTTCTCATTCGGCAGGTCTAGGATGGGAACCAAGATCTTTTTTTTTTTTTTTTAAGGGTTTTGCCATCAAGCATGTGTACTTGACTGAGGGAGACAGAGACAGTGAGAGGGAAAGTGAGAAATCAACCCCCAGGGGGTGGTCATGTCATAATCCCTTCTCTTCTTGGAATTCTGGGACATGCTTGCCCTCATGCCCAGCATGATCCCGAAGCCTCAAACCATGGTCAGTCATGTGGGAGTTCAGTGCTGCCCCAGGCCTTGCATTTCTAACAAGCTCCCAGGTAAAGCAGCTGTTGCTGCGTTGGCAACGAACTTGGAGAAGCACCTGTATACGGACTACGTGGAAGCCCCAAACTTGGTCTGTAAGAGCTTTTACAACCTGCCTCCAGCATACTTTTCCAGCCTTGTCTCTTGCTGCTCCTCTCACCTGTGCTACTTTTTAACCACGTGCAGTGCTCAAGCTCGTTCCAGCTTCCCTTTCATGCCTTCGCATATGTGCTTCCTGGAATTCAACCCCCTTGCACTCCTACTGCAAACTACTATTTTAGTTTTTAACGAATTATTTAACTTAATTTGACCAGAGAGGGCCAGAGTATGTGAGAGAGAGAGAGAGAAAGGGAAAGTGATAAAGCAAGCCACTAGGCCAATGACTCAAGTTGCATTTGGTCGTGTGAGAATCCAGTGCCCATACCTACCATGCCGCTTGCCAGCCCCACTACTACTAATTAAGGCAGACCGTCGCTGTCTTTACACTCCCAGAGTACCTTGTGTTTCCCCGTGTTTTATCGCTGTCACATCGGATCCTAACGACTGCTGTGTATGTCTTTATCCTGCTAAACTGGGTGTTTGGAGGACCAAGACCATGTTTTCATCTTTCTTCCATATCCCTAGCACACCGCCTGTATATAATAAGTACTCACTAAATGTTTGTTGAATTAATTTGAGATTCCAAAACTTCTGAGAGTGCTACATGCAGCACTTCGTATCATTCATGGATTTTGCTCTGAGAATTGCACATGCATCTTATAATAATGGAAGACAAATTGGAACATTGTAAAATTTGGAAATAACATTTATCATTACAGTTGAAAAGAACACATTCAAAGGAATTTTTCAACACATTGCTGTACAGTGTTGTTTTCATCTCAAAACATACATTACTAGGGACTGGCAGTTGGCGTAATGATTATGTCGCTGGACTCCCATGTAGTCGACCGTGGTTTGAGTCTCAGGCATGGTGGCTTAAACTCACGCTGGGCGTGTTTGCGTGCATGCCTAAGATCCCGAGAGGAGAACGGAGGAGAAGGGATTGAAGTGTGGCCATCCCCTCTGGGGGGTGATTTCTTGCTTTCTGTGTCTCTGTCTCTCTCTCTCTCTCTGTCTTCCTGGCTCACACATGCGCCATATAGCAAAAACGTCTCAAAAAAATACATTACTTGACTTTTACATTTGCATATAGAATAGCCCATCATTATATATCATTTATAGCAGTGAGTCTCATTAGATATAAAATGATACTAAAATCCTAGAAAACGAATGTAAACCAAATTGCCTTATATTGAGCAATGGACATTAAAATGAAAAGTGAACATTGTAGCATTACTTGTGAAAGAGTTGACTTTAGGAAGATGCCAGTCATTAAAAATCCAAAGAGACAATACTGGGAATTCAAAGAGGGGAGAGCTGAGTTTATGGGGTAGGGAGAAAAGAGGTTTTATCCTAGTGACACTAACTCAAATTATGAACAGGCATTGCGCTGACCTGTTCATCATTTATAGTGTTCATTTGGCTGTTGGCAAGGACTGCACCAAGTATGGAGGGAGGAGATAGCCCTGTGGCCAGATAAAAGGGAGCTGGCCTGGAAGTGGAGCTGAGAACCCTAATCAGAGAAAACAGCGCGAGGCCGGGGCAGGTAGTTAAGTCACTGGTGCACTGCTGCCAAGCAGATGGTCAGGAGTTTCTGGGGAAAGTTGTACTTTTTTTTTTTTTTCCTTGTTATAGGGCATGCGCACTCACCAGAGAGCCAGAGAGAGAGATAGAAAGCAAGAAAGCACTCCCCAGGGGGATGGCCACGCCACAATCCCTTCTCCTCCATTCTCTTC